CCCCCACCCCTCCCTCTCTCTCTCTCTCTCAAAATAAATAGATAATAATTTTCAAAAAACATTTAAATATTCTTAACTGGGCAAAGATTCTGATTTTTCTGTTTTTTGTTTTTGCCATTTAATTCATACAGGGAACAGTTGGAAGTGAAGTGGAAGAGAACGCATGAAAGAATCTGATTTCTGGTCTTTTTTGTTTTTTAATGTTTATTTTTGAGAGTGGGGGGAGGGGCAGAGAGGAGGTGGAAAACACGGAATCTGAAGCAGGCTCCAGGGTCTGCACTGTCAGCACAGAGCCCGACGTGGGGTTCAAATGCATGAACTGTGGGATCATGACCGGGGTCGAAGTTGGACACTTAATCGACTGAGCCACCCACCCCAACCCCGGTCATTTTTTTCAATGATCATTTAATGTCACTTTCCTTAAATCAGCAGGAAAGGTGCATGTCACTGTGACTTGTGGAGGAAAAATAAAATTCTCATCTCAACTTCTTTTCAGTTGTCAAGAATTTGAATGAACGATACAAATTCTGCATCACCATGTGCAAGAAACTTACGGAAGAGCTGACTCGCTTCTTCTCTGACAAACAGAGATTTATTGATGAAATCAGCAGCGTGACTGCAGAGAAACTCATCTATAATTGTGCTGTAGAAATGGTAACCCTTTCTACGGTTTAACATTATTTAAGAGTATCTTTTGAGTTGAATACCTGCTTGACCTTATCGTTTTAAAAAGAGTTTGTGCCCTTGACTGCTCCCAAGTCCCAAACACGGTGATAGCCTCTTACTAAAGGAGGACTTGGACTTCACGAGCACAGGTGACACATTAAATAACGTTGGTTACCGCATTCGGTGAAGTGTTATTGTACCTCCTAAAAATTGCTAACCTTAGGCATGATCTAATCTTCTTATACTTTGCATCTAAATGCTTTGGCTGGATCTGTTTCTGCATTTTGTACTGTCTAAGAAATTCTGGCATAATAAAACATGAGGAAAAATACCACTCTGTTTACCAGTCCACAAAAGTCCACGTGCCCAGATTCCACTTACTGACCTTACTGAAGCATTCGACACAAAGTAAAATCTGCTTTTCCAATTATTTGGGTCTACTATTGGAAATAATTTGTTTCTATCTCATGGGGGAAAAGTTGCTCTGAAGTAGTGATGAAATTAGAGACTGTTAAGTAGTTTAGTGGGGGAAAAAATTATTGAGCAATCTTATTTTTGCCACATTAACATAATAAATCTACCTCCTCCCCCCAGAATATGTCTAGTTTGAATTGTACGGTTATGTTACCCTTGGCCTTATTCCGCAAGCCATTATCAAAAGTTAAATGAAAATGACTTTGGAGTATAAACTGTTGATAAGCATAACATACATTATTTTGCTCTAAACTATTGATATGAATAATAGGCATTGTATCACTCTATACTGGTTTGAGACTTCATATGATAAATTATTTTTAAAACTTGGGGCCAAGAAAAATGTCCTCTCCTGAGGAGTTTGGCTGTTCTTCCTTTTCTGATAACAAGAGCAGTATAACTTGAATAAGTCCCTCCTTTTGCCCTGGCTGCACAGCAAACTTCGTGATATTAGCACCATGTTTAGTCATTTCTTCATCCTTTTCAGAATGGATTTTCTGTACCCATTTTATTTGTTTTATTGTAAGTGGCTTTCAAGTATTTTTTGAAAGAAACAGATCATATCGGCAAGTACACATCAGGATACTGGGTTACTGGCAGTCCCGGCTTTTAATGACTGAAGAGAATGTTAAAGAACAAAATTCAACCAAGTAAAATTGAAGATCTAATTGGCTTTTGTGAAATGATTCATGCATCAGGCAGCATTTCATCTAGCAAGTAGAGGAGAGCTTTACTGAGCTAAATAAAACAAAGGTGTTTGAAGGGAGAAGGGGGTAGTAAAAAAGAGGAAAGGAATTCATTAGCAAGGAATGCGTTGTTTAGGCAAAGTTGCCCTTCTAAGGGAAACTGAAGTGGGGAAGGAAGGGGTCAATCAGTAAATTTCCTAGTGCTGACCAGGAAATGCCAGGTTGACTGGTTTGAGGTTACATACCTGGGGTATTGGAACTGCAGTCAGGTGAGGTATTATGTCCTGGCTTACTGACTTGGCCTAAGTGGTGCCATTTTGGGCCTGTCGTCTACTTTTTAACAAGGAAATCAGAATACCATTGAGAAGACTTCTCAAATAGTCATGACCTGTGCATAATACTACAGTCTCCTCTTTCTGGAAAGCCCCTGCCCACCTTTCTCATCACCTCTACTCCTTTATGACTCAGCCGACACACCACTTCCTGGAGGCTTTCCCTAATATCCGTGTGCCACGGGGTGGTTAGATGTGCCCGGTATGTGTTCCATCCCATCTTGGGGCTTCCTCCTACACAACCACGAGTCTCGTGGAATTAGCAAGCCATGTTTTCAGGCCTGTGTGTCCCTCCAGACTGTGAGTTCTCCTTCGTGGTATGTGCAGTGCTTGGCACTTGTAAACACCCCTGAATGAATGGGTGACTACGCCAGAAAGTTCTTTGGCTAAAGGAAGCTATAAATTACTTTTACCACCATTTAATTATCTTATTATAACAAAATCTACCTTAATGAAATGTCAGGTTGCCCTAGTGTGAGAGTATATGTTTAAAATAAACTTTTTAGTGTAGCCATAGAAGAGCCAATTTAGAAGTATAAATGTTGAGTCATGAATCTCTCTGAGTACGGGATTATGTTTGAAGGCAAAGTAACTTTCATCGAGAAGCTCCTTTATACTGCTCATCTGATGAGTCTTATGAGTAAGTTTTGTAGTTTGGTAGATTATATCATCTCGTCAAAATGTGTTAGATATCATTTAAAGCTGCATTGCCCAGATGGATGTGTATTTTCGTGGAAAAGTTGAGAATCTCCTTGCTCTTGCTGACTTGGCTTCAGGTTCAGTCTGCAGCCCTGGATGAGATGTTTCAGCAGACAGAAGATATTGTTTATCGCTATCATAAGGCAGCCCTTCTTTTGGAAGGCCTAACGAAGATTCTCCAGGACCCTGCAGATATTGAAAACGTACATAAATGTAAGTTGACTTGGAAAGTGGTGTTATTGATTGCAGCTGAGTTGCCTCCTACGGGTGCATCAGGAAGAGCTTGGAGTTTGGAGTCGTACTGCCTGGGTTTGAATCTTGGCTTTCCAACTTTGGGCAAGTCATTGATTCTTACTGCGGTCTGCTGCTGCTTCTAAAAGATGAGAGAGTTGTTTGAGGAACGGAGATCATGCTTATAATGTAATGATTGATGGCTTTTGATTTTTATACCACATTACCGTGTTGGAAGATGTGTGTTTGTGGATGTAGAGAACTCTGTTTTTGTTAAATAATAATACATGCAACTATTTTAAGCCCTGTGGGCTTCAGCGCAGAGCCTGCTTCGGATCCTGTCTCTCCCCCATCTCTCTGCCCCTCCCCCACTAGTGCTCTCTCTCCTCTCAAAAATTGTGGAAAAAAAAAAAAAAAAAGAACTTTATGAAGATCCTACGTACCCCAGATCGGGTATAGACAACAGAGTGGAGATTTAGAGAGTACCAGGATGATGATACCATTTGTGGAGTATAAGCCCTGGTGTTTGAGGAGGGGCTTGGGAGCATATGTGGTCACACCACATTTTGAAGAGCCTCAAGGGGACTGCAATTCTAAAATTATGTGCAGTTGTGAGCAAGCTAGCTATTAAAACCTAAATTGTCTTTATTTGACTTGCTAACCTACACTTTGCTCCTGTGCATCACTGAGCTAGACATTATATCTAAACAATTATCAGGCAGAAAGAAGAAAAAATCTTCAGAATGGTTCACTTTGGGGCAAAGATAGAACAGAGACAAGGATGTAGGTGGAAAGTGGTTTTGTTTTTGTTTTTGTTTTTGTTTTTCCATTTGTTCTGCCCTTGGTTTTGAAAACAGAAATGACTTTTGCTCTGAACTTACTTTATTTCTAGATAAAACTAGTATTGAAAGAAGATTGTCAGCACTCTGCTGTAGCACCGCCACCCTGTGAGCGGCAGCCGGTCCGGCCCCTGGACCAGTGGTGGAATTGAGGACAGAAGTTTGGGATGACAGCTCGGGTTCTGGTTCCCCATCTCCAGGAAACCGTAGTTTCTCACCTGGTGACTACCAAAGAGCAAGCAGTGACTTCACAAAGGAAGAACAATCCAAAACTACATGCTTATAGGAAATCTGCCTTATCGGAGACGACACCCCTTCCCCTTTTCTTTGTAGAAGCAGCAGCAAGAGTATTCCACTTGGCTCTCAGTTCGAACCTGGTAAATAAACGTACCTTAGAAATAGAACTATCAGTGCAGTTATTCTTAAAGACGATCAAGAGGGGAACAAAGTGAGTGGCTCTTTACTCGTTCATCGGAGCAGTGTGTGAAATTCCATGTATTTACTGAGGTATAAAAGTAAAAAGGAAAAAAAAATCTACATCTCGTCCGGGCAGTTTGATATCTGGGGTAGGTTTGTCTAAATCTGAGCACGCATCCTTAAACAGCTCAGGAGGAAATAGCGTAAGAACCAGCTGAAAGAAGGCTCTTGGAAGAAATTGTGAAATCTTCCATCTGATCTAATGTGGACACATGTTACTCTTCCAAAATCTCTCATATTGCACTAATTTATTAAAACAACTGTGCATTGGATTTTGCAATTTAAAACTAACTGAGGCACAATGGACTTGTTTAAAATATTTTACTTGATTATATTCTATACACACACCCTTTCCAGAATTCACATGTAATGTCTAGTGGACTTTTAAACGGTAAAAACTTGTGTTCATGTGGACCGTTGCATTTTTTTAACCTGCTCATCCACACGTAACAGATTTTCTCTGGTATTTTTGAGTTGCTGGTCGTTTGCCTTTGGTTTTATTTTTTACCGTGCATGCAGAATGCGCATTGACGCCTGTGATCTCTACGTTTACTAAAGGCTAGGTTTATTTGGGCAGTATTAGAAAGAGTATCAATCGGGAGACTCTCAAGAATTTTAGCCGGCCCACAACAAAGTTGGCGACCTAAAGGCTTGTTAGTGATGTGGAGTTTTCTACATGAAGTTAGTGAAGAATGAGGTTTGTTTTCTCTTAGGAAAACGGGCAGCTCTCTCTGCAGCCTGATGTGTGTTTTTCACGTTAATCCTGACAGTTCACCAGATAACTGGTCACCAGATAGCTAGACGTGGAGAATGCGGGCAGTTAACATCCTTCCAGAAACCGTTCCTACGTTGTGTGTTGTTTGATTTCTTTTACTCACCTGCTTGAATACTTGAATAAACATTCTCCACTTTTAATCCTTATATCTTTATCCTTTTAGATAATATAATCTGAACTCTGACAAATTGCACAGAAGCTCTTTGGCATTAACCTAATTTTAGCGTACTGATAAAGACGAACAAAAACATGGTTTTTCTTTTACTTTGACGAAGTAATGTAATTTTTACCTTATTTATCTGTATGAAATTCCAGCACTTAATTTGAACATTTATTTATATGATGTTTGTATTTTTAGGTCTTTAATACAGTGTTTCTACCTCCCATTTGTAACTGCATATGCATTATTCTTGAAACTAGGTAAAACTCACTGAATTGTTGTGTAATAGCCTTTTTATTATTGCCTGTACAGATGTATATTGAGGTAAAATAAAAGTGACAAAGTGTTTCTAGGGCAAAGCTGGGTCCGTATTACGTGGCTTGTCAAGCCAGCTCCTTCCTCAGTGAGTTTGGAGGCTGGGTCACTAATATCCTTTGTCCTGCCCCAAGATTTCCGATGCTCGGTGACTGTCAGCGCAGGCTGCCAGGCATGTGGACTACGCGATGAGGACTCCTGCGCCTCCCTGCGGGGGTGACAAGCACTGGTATTGGGGACACTCTAGTTTGTATAATTCCTTCAAGCATACCGAGCAATTTCATTCACCTTCTCGTAGTTATCAGCCGCGTTCTCTCAGTAGATCCTCCAAGGGGCTGGGTTCCTTCTGGCCCCTCCGCCCTGTCCTTTATTTTTTTTTTATTTTATTTTTTTCTTTAAACAGGATGAAACAGGTTCTCAGCAAGTAAGTGATGTGTCTGAAGTCAGGTAACTAGTGAGGTAGTTAAGCCATGCTTTGTGACTGCCAAGTTCATTCTTCCTCCTCTTGTATAATGAAGGTCCGTCTTGTGATAGATGCTGTGTGTGAAACCGTGAAGTCTGAACAGCAAAGAACAAACTGTAAACTCATGAATAACGGTTCTGATTCTACTTCCGTTTTCAAGGCCGATTGTTTTCAGAGATCTTGCCTTGATTATAGCAATAATAAATGCTTTATGTTTCCACGAGTACTTTTTAATTCCGTATCATCTGTTTCATACGGTAGAAATGGGCCAGTCTACACATCCATGGGTTGACACCCGTATTGAAGGCATAACGTGGGAAGTTACTGAGCACACGCATGTAAACAGAGGCCTGCTCGGTGAATTTGCTAACCAGCTCTTCCCGCTGTAAGAGTTTGCCTTTATAACGGCACCCTGTCCTGGACCTAACGGTTCCCACAGTCCACGCGCCCTTATCCCTGCCCAGAGGAACAGTCGAGGCAGCAATGGTCTTGTTTCTGCCGGAGTCCTGGAGAGGAGCTTCCTGGCAGGGCCGGGTCCTCCTCAGTCTCCACAGGGCCACAAGGGAGAAGCTGAGCGGGGCCATAGTGGACATGAAGCCATTGACTCAGGTATCTAGGAAGCCGTTGAGGTGACAGAAGTGATTGCAGGACGACCTCCCACGCGTGGAGTCTCTACAGACCGTCTTAAATCCTTTCTGAGATAAAGCGCGGTGTGTGGCTCCAGGAGGGTTGCCTGCTGGTGTCCGCGACAGCGAGGAGCTACTGCTCGGGGAGCGTGATGTTCTCCCTCCACCGAGAGGTGCGTCTTCGAAGCATCTGTGCCCATCTCCACGCGGCCCTGAGACGGTTCACCTCTGGGGCCCGGACCCGTGAATCTTCAGCCACGGAAGCTCTCGGGACCTGCTCGCGTCTCTTCCTTGTTTATCCAAGCCCTTGTGAGAGGACTGCCTGTGGGAGAGGGTCAAGACGGTGTTTTCCTTACCAGAGTCAGAGGGAACCGCCTCAGACCCGATCCACCTAGAAAAGCCTCGCTCTCCGGGAAACTGACAATCGGCCCCGAAACTCTCTGCTTTTGCGGAGGGGGCAGAGCCAAACAGGAAGGGTCAGTGTGAATTCAGGGACCAGACTGTGGTAGAGACAGGAACGGGGGCCAGGAGCCTGCTGTCCCCGCCGCTGCAGGCACACTGACCCCGCGGAGGCCGCACAGACCAGGGCCCTGGGGGCACATGTCTGCCCCCTGCAAGCGGAACTCACCTATGGGCTCCCCCTTTTCACGGAAGGTCTCAGCCCAGTTTTCAACGGGCCATGTGGATTTTGTCGTTCAGTGTGTTCCCAGGGTGCCTCCTGGGAGTGGATCTGAGCCGAGGAGGCTGCTTCCTGGAGCCCCGCACCTGCTCCTTCCCTTGGCACAGCGGCTCCTTCGACGTCTGCACTCGGGAGACAGGCGGTGGGCCTCTCCTGGGCGAGGCTGCCTGGCGCACGGTCGTGGACCTCCCCACGCTGCGTGCCCTCCTCCGAGACAGTCCTGACCTTCCCAGAGTTTGCTTCCATCACTAGGAGAGGCCAGCCGAGCACTTGTTTGCTGAAAGCTTCACTCTGCCTCCTCAGCGTGGTGGTCCCCTGGGTCCCAGACTCCAGCTGCCCCGTGCAGAGCTGTGTGTCCAGAGGGCAAGGGCGCAGAGCTCAGGGAGTGGGGTGCGGATGAAACAGGTTAGTGAGCACGAAGTTCGAGCCGTTCCGGGGACGTGCGTATCCTCAGCGAAGCTCGCTGTTGGACTGGTGGCGGTCCACGGCTCCCCGCTGTGTTGTTTTGGGGAGGGGTGGAGAACAGCCTGTGTTTGTTTAGGGCAAGGCCTGGATTTAGTGCTCCCTGGAACCACGCTTGCTCTAGCCGGACAGCTTCTGAAAGGACTTGCCTCCTTCCCTGGCTGGCCCGCCCGGCAAGCTGCGTTCAGACATCCTTTATTTACCCTTTTAGGTCAATCTGGCAGTTACGGTGAAGTGTTTGTATCGAGCTAACATTTATTTGATCGGCATATCAACCCCTACTTGCCTCATTTTACCGATGGAGAAACAGGCTTGGAGAGTAATCCCCGCTCCGAGAGAAAAGCCCTGAGGCCAGGTAGTGGTGGAAGCAGGGGTTTGGACTGCTGGGCTGGGGAGCCTGGGTGTGGGGGAGCCCTCCTCCCCCTGTGATGTGCTTAGCGCCCCAAACCTGCTTACCCGCACGTCCTTGTAACACCTCTCTGGTGATGTCCAGGAAGAGGGGGAAAAAGTAGAGTTCTGTGCCATTTGGACCCATCTTCTGCCTAGCAGAAGGCAGCAGATTTCGAGAACAGGCGGAGTCAACAGCTCTGTGCAGCCCCTCTTGGGCCTGGGGCTGGAGCCCGAGAACAGTGGGTTTCAGAAACCACCCTTGAACCTCCCAGTGAAAGGGCGTTCTATGACGTATCAATAAACTTGAGCATTTGGTTGACCCACTTTGCAGTTTCCCTGTTTGGTCTTACCTGCGCCAGTGAGCTCGAACCGCAGGTGCAGCACCAGGTGGGAGAAGCCTCAATCCGGGTTTGTCCAGGGGACCCCACCCCCACCCCGACACGCACACAGCCGAGTCCTGGGACCAATTCTTTTGTTGATGGAGGCAGAAACCCTTTCCCCAGGAACTCCTTGGTCTGCCCCCACTGCGGCCAAGCGGCCCCACGCCCTCACCTGGGCCCCGTCCAGCGTGGAGTTCACACTACGCCAGCCCCTCCACCAGGAGGAGCGTAGCCCCCAGGGTTTTCTCTTGTTTGTCTCAAACCGCCAAGGCCCCGACCCATTTTCTCGCCTTCCTGTCCTGCCTTCCCCATCTCGGTGATGAGGGTCCTGTGCCGCTGGGGCAGGGCTCCCCTCACTCCCCTCCCCGCAAGGAGAGGCTGGGGAGGAAGACAGGCTGTTTTTCAGTTCCAGCTAGCGGGTTTCTGTAAAGATGACGGGTAAATGGATTGCACACTCTAGCAATACGCCCAGTGATGGTTCCTTTAGGAACCCGCATAAGGAGCAGAAGATGTGGGCAGCCGAGCTGGTATGGCATGCCTTAAACTGAGAGTGGAAAGTAGACACAGTTTCTAGTGGAAACCTAGAATATTTTGAGCATGAGGTTTTTCTTCTTAATCCCCTTTACTATGAAGACAAAACAGCCCTGTGTCATTTTTTTTTAAAGTTTA